AAAAAAGTTGTTGAATATTACATCCAAACAGCTGCACAGAGTTTTTTTTTTTTCTTCCTTTATTAGAGAGATTTTTAGCCTAAGGCTAGTTCATCTCTTTTAAAAATTACACAAAAGAATTGGGACCTCAAAAGGAGGATCCCAATCTTGGCAAGTGGGCATTTAGCTTAATTATATAAAATATTGTAAAAACACTACCAAAAGGGCCAACGAATTCAAAAGCACAAACAGAAAACACTCAAATGTTGTAAAAGAGATTCACCTCCTTCAGGAAGGCGATGAGGGCGTCTGCTGCCGGGGACTCGTCGCCAAGCAGACTTCGTATGCTGGTTTCCTGCAGACCGAAGGCAACCCGAAGGTCCTCGAGCTCCACACAGTTGATGAGGATGTGTTCTACGGAGACTGGCACTCCGCAGGTTTCGCAGGTTCTCCGGAACGGTGTTCCTCCGAAATTATGGGAGGCCCTAAGCTGCACAGAGGTCATTCCGCCGGTTGTGCAATATTACGTTGTACGATGTACAACGATTTTGCGAACAAAATTACATCTATTGATGTAATATTGTATCTGCTTTTTGCTATTACATAATTTTTTCGTACATCAGCTTGAATTACGTTGATCGATATTACATTTTTTTTTGCTGTGTACGGTGACTGCTTACAAGACTGATACCATAGAGGTAACTCTAAGACCACTGGGTCCCGAAGAAAATCATTATTATTTTTGGCTCACTCAGTACCAGAACAACGGTCCCAAGCAGTCCCAAGCTATTTCACTCACCCCTGCATGTTCTGCATGAATCCACACACCCCTGATGTTATCTGTCAAACTTTCATAGCGAATCAAAACAAACATAGTGTAGTAATAGCATTTCAACTAGAATAGGGTACGTTAATCGTTTGCTTGGGACCAATAGGCTACTAAAGTGGTGAGCCAATTTAAAATCGTTAGTTTCGTATTGATTGTTGCTAATACGGAGACGAATAAATGAAATAAAACACACCGATGTGCTCGGCCGTCCTGTCATGGCGGAGGCATGACTACTGATATATTGTTTATTTGTATTCGTTTGTATAGTAGCTACAGTGGGTACACACTTAGAAATTATTACCGTATTCGGTAATTTTTTACCGAACTTTCAACAGCTGAACGTTCGGTAATCCGTTCGGTAAACGAAATAACTACCGAACGATCGGTAAACAGATTTTTGGATTATTTGTCAAAATGACCGAACAATTCGGTGATTTTCTACAGAACAATTCGGTAGCTATTACCGAACTTCCGTAAAACGAGAACGAAATATTTTATTTAAATTATACTACTTTTTTCGATTCATTTATATTGAATTATCTTTTTACAATAATAGTTATTTGATTGTTTTTGTTGAGAAAATTTTGTCAGGGGGGTTAGGTGCAATATTTGAAACGGATAATGGCTGGATGAAAATAGCGAGCAGGAGATACCCAGCATATGGGGCAATCGTTTGTGCCCTCCAAGAATGGTCTTCTGACAAATAGAACGGGTGACATTGTATTTTGGATGGTAAAAATTTCTTCGGTCTATAAAATAGTAATTGTTAAATGTTTGTTGTAAAATACTTCTGTTTATAATACTGTACCTGGTTCCATTCATCAGCACTTTAAGTTAGTTTATCCTCGAAGCACGGTTCACTTATAAATAAAGTTTCTTCACGGTTTGACAGTTTGTACAAACCGAAGTTCGGTAATCTGATTTATGTTTTACGGTTTGTTCGGTGATTTTTTTACCTAACTCGGCGATTATCTCATTTTACAGTTCGTACTGTAATTTTTTTACAGAGTTCGTCACTTAAAAAATCAGACCACCGTTATTTCGGTAAACCGTTATTTCGGTAAACTTAGTTTTGGCCTTCTGGACAAAACTTCGGCTTAGGTGCAGCTTCTTAGCCACATCCCTAACGGAGGCGTTCGGATTTCGGTTGAAGGCCCCAACTACGCGGTTGTGATTTTTGGTGTTGTACGGAATACTTTTTCCTTCACTTCTGGGCTTCCGATCGGTGGCCAACCGTTCCTCGAACCGCTTAATCACTCGCGACACCGTGGAATTCGCGATTCCCAACGTTTTAGCGATGGAACGATGCGAGAGATCCTTGTTCTCGTGATGAATGCGCAAGATTTTATCACGCACGAGCTGTTCTTTCCACTCCATTTCCGCGAGTTTTGATCACAGGACTTTAAAACTTGCAGGATGTAAATAATGCACTATGAACTCAATCCACCCAAATTTTCATTAAATTCTACCCAACGGTTAAAAAGTTAGAGCAATTTCATAGTGTGGCAATTTCATCGTGGACACCCTTTATATTGTTTTCACAATAGAATCTATGGTGAATGGGGAAATCTACAATAGAACAAGGGGGTTGTCATGTATCTTAACCATAAGAAAAATCACTTTTTCCCGCCCAAATAAAAATTTACCATACAAAAACAATAGAACCTATTGTTACAATACAATAAAACCTATTGTAGCAACAATAAATGTTATTGTCAAAAACAATAAAAATACAATAGAACTTATTGTTATGTACAATATAATCTATTTTTAATGAGACATTAACAATAGAAAAAGGGTGTTTAGTTACCGTAATCATAAAAAATCATTTTTTTCTCGAACAAATTTGATCTTATTACAATACATTTTATTGTTTTTTTACCATTAATTGTCTTGTTGTTCTATTATTGAAAATTCTTAATAAATGGGACGTATTGTAAATCTATTATAACAAAAATATTTTAGGATTTCTTGTACAATATACGTACAATAAGATCGATTGTTGGCAATAGATTTTTATGTAATTGTATTTTATGTTATGGTAATTGTATGGTTATTTTTTTCCGGGGACACAAATGCGTCTTTTCGACTTGAGTTCATTTAAAATTTTAATTATTATTTACAGTTCCTATTAAACGGGACCGTTTAGCGAACACCCACCTTGGTGCGATTGGTTTGTTTGAAATTGGAAAAAAAAAGATGCTACTTAGGGGAACTAGGGACATTAAGGACACCATAAGGATTTTGCCAAGTTTGATAGGAATCAAAATATCGTTATGTGATATTTACTACACACTTTTGTTACTAAGCAACAGTTGCACATTGATGCAATTTTTAAAAAACAATTTGAAAATTTGTTACATTACATTGACATCGTAAAGCTAGCGGGGCAAAATGGACACCCCTACGGGGCAGTATGGACACCTTAAAGTCTACCCCAACGGGGGAAGATATTTTATCGTTAGTTTTTTATTGTTTTAATGTAGGGTAAGGAGGGGCATAGTGAGCAGGTGGGGTATAGTGAGCATCCCGCAGTTTGGCGCTGGATCGCCAGCTGCATGAAACAAATCAACTGGTAGTAGGTTCAATATCATTATGATATTGATCCTACCACCAACCAATTTGTTCCGAACGGCCGGAAGTCCAAGCTGGTGCACAGGATGCTCACTATGCCCCACCTATTCACTATGCCCCAAAAGATCGAAAACAGTAGCGGTCCTAGGTTACTGCCTTGCGGAAATCTCGAGTTGTTTAAAAAAACATCCGATTCCGACTCGCCAATCTTAACCCGTACATAGCGATTCACCAAGTAAGATCTGAACCAACCCACAGCCGTTGACGAGACGCCATGTATCTCCAGCTTTGCAAGCAGGATATTATGGTCCACCGTGTCAAATATAGCTTTTAGATCCATATACGCAGCATCCTGAATCCATGCATCGCAAACAGTTAGAAGTAAACTGCACCAGGTTCGTGGACACGGAGCGCTTTGGGTAAAAGCCGTGTTGTTCTGTATCGATATAATTTTTGCAACACGCGAACAGAGCATCATTTATGATAATCTCGAACAGTTTTGAGCAGGTACACAGGGAGGTCATTCCACGATAATTTACGACATTCCGTTTATCTTCTTTTTTGTAGACTGGGAACAGATTAGAAAGTTTCCAGCGGCAGGGGAACTCACATTGTTGAGCCGAGAGATTGAATAGCCTCGCAAGTGGAAGGCAGAGATTGGCTACACAACGTTTTAGAACTGATGACGGAATGCCGTCAGGTCCGGCGGCGAACTAGAGCTTCAGTTTGCGTGTTGCACCAATCACCATGTCTTCTGAAATGCGCGGAATATCGAAACTAAGCACAACACGTGGCATCCCAACAATAGTATCCAGTACTTGTGTCGGCGAAGCGGAGAAACACTTGCTTGAAATGACGAGCAAACAAGTCGCCTTTTTCTCTTTCGCTATTAGCCGCGTCATTCCCGAAAAACATGGAACAAGGCAATCCGGATTCCTTCCGTTTGGAGTTGACAAATGATCAAAAACTTTTCGTATTCGTGCGAGGGTTCGCTTCCGTGCGTCTCACGTGTCGATTATAGAGAAAACAATTGGAATTTCGATAACTAAGACTCGCAAAATTGAACAGTCGTTTGTAGTACGGTGAGCGAGTTACAATACTTTCGGAGGGCGGCAGAGCGTTGACGTTTTAACACGCGTAGGCGTGGGTTAGACCAAGGAGGCTTTTGCGGGTGTTGTCGTGCTTTGGTGGTCAGGCTTCGGCCACTTATAACTCTGTCAATAGCGGATGGATTTTAACTCTAAACTAGCCAATGTATTGGACATTTTTCTACGAATCTGCTTAAATAAACACTTTATCAATTTTCTATAGGTCTCTATTGATAATTACACAAATGTTCAACTGTTGCAATGGTTATCAAAATAATCACCGATGTCCAGCAAAAAGCACTTTCCTTAAAACAGTCATCGAATATTGATACCGAGCACGTAATCCTACGTCAAATTTACGGTCGCGTCTTGGATACAACCTCTTACTTTTTTTTATTGCAACAACTATTTCACCGCAGCACTTAAGAATGTGATACAATCCGACGTATTTAAAAGCATCTACTGGGTAAGTCATCAATGAATGAAAAGATTAACAGTTTGTTTTGTGAAAAGACTTATTTTTATTTATCTCTTAAAATTATGTATCATTCAACTGTCTTTCGCTTGAACCTTATTGACTAGAAACTTTTATCGACGAACGAAAATAGTCTATCTACACTACCGGAAATCTGTTGCGAACTAATTATATGCCTGTACTGCAGCATATAAATTGTAGAATTTGAAAGGTTTAGCATCAGCAAATATGTATTTATACTCCATGCCTCATCGTGCTGAATGTAAGCACCAGTCCAACGTTCCAAAATTAACCCGATAGATTTCAATATGAACTAAACTACATTTCAAATTCTATTGCTTCATGATCAAGTGGATTCTCAAAATGATATGTAAGTTTTTTTAAACAAGCATTCTGTTGGTCTATTTCGGGAGAAGCAATTAAACTATGCGAGTCCTGAACATCATTACAAATTATTTTGTAGTGCCACTAGGTTGAGACTGACTGACATTCTATTAAAACCAGTTATTTGTCAATCACATTCAATTTCATTTTTCAAGGCATACGTCGTTTTTGTTGCAAAACTTTTCTAAATTGGGTCATAACTAATAACCTCAGAGTATATTGACGCTAAAAGAGAACAATTTACATCATCAACTTAAAGTATAACTGAAACAACTAATAACAAAACCACAAAAGCTAAACTTATTGAACTTATGTGCAGTCTGAATTCTATTCAATCTGTCTATATTTCAAACCGAAACCTAAATTTGGAATTGTTTTCTTCACCACTATTTGAACCTTAGGTTTGCAACTAATTGATAATAACATCAACAGAGGGTCAAATCCCAGTTAAGAACGGTACTATACTTTTACTATTTTTTCTACGATGAAGACAAATCGATAGTTACAGTATAGCATTTGGAAAACGATATGAACTGAGAAAAACAGTTTACGTATTCAGTCAGATGTTCTCACACTTTTGTAGTTCCCACAATATGTATGCTAAAATTAATCCTCTTTAACACTACTATGCTGAGATCTTGCTTTTTTGGTAGGAGTGGTTTTAGGAGAGTTTTTAGCCGATGATTTTCCTATAAGAAAAAAAAATGAAAACAAATAAGAAACGAATATGGAACATATTTGAAATGCTATTGATCAGTAGGGGAAATGGCTCTAATGCTGGCCTATGGATCTAAGATTGGGCCCATCGCTAAAAATCTGCTATTTATCAATTTCATCTAGATTGGGGCGATACTAGTGGATATTTTTGGTCGCTATTGAATAGTTAGTCGATTGCTAAATTTATGTATGGGCCCACATTAGGGGCATTTAGGCCGACATTACATCCATTTCCCCTATATAAAATAAACACAAAGCCACGGAGATGATCTCAGCAGGGTTGCCAAAACTACAGATTAATTTGTATTTCTAAAAGAATTTTAGATTTTTAAACCCATTTCATTTCTTTGATTTTGATAAATGTATTTGAAAGAGATCATGTTTCAGAACATAACTATATATTTTGTTCGTTCCCATAGACTTTTATTTCGATTTAAAAAAACAAGAAATATAATGCTTGATTTTTTTTTTTCACTTTTTCAAACAATTAGACACTTTATCTCATACTAAAGCACCATCGAAAAACACTTAGATAGTGATTCTGGCCACTGTAATCGCACTTACTAGTCAGAATAATTCCTGTGCATCAAAATTGATGAAAATTTAAATTTTAATTTGGCGACCCTGAAACAGCGATGCCAACTGGATTCTTACAGTTTTTATGGCGGCATCCAACCAAACAGCCAAACTTACACTTTTTTTAATCATCCATATTACTGTACTTACTGGTCATTATTTTACAAAGAATTGTTCAATACTATATAACTTGCTTGTTACCTTGTAAGACACATTACCATTATTATTGCTTGTAGAGTTTTGCACCAGTCATTAATGTAATATAATCAGTCTATGTAATTCTAAATATTTTTGCCAATCGACATGATGTAAAGTTAAACCACCCATAGATAAGTTAACCATTAGAGGTTGGTTAAACTAGGATTGTAAATTGCGACTATCGCGCAATTATTAAACTACAAATTAATTATTAATTGGAGCAGTTTATGATAGAGATTTAAAAAAAAAACCGGGGTAATAAATTGCAAATTTTTTCTAAGGAAATGTTGAATAAAACCCTCTTTTATCAAACCTCCAGAAGAATACCTTATACTAATAATACTGTTTTTTCACCTAAAAAGTTAAAGATATGCTAAAAGATTTTCTCAGGCATAGTGAAAACCATGATATAGGGGAAATGGATGTAATGTCGCTCTAAATGCCTCTAATTTGGGCCTATACATAAATTCATCAATCGACTAAGTTTCCAATAGCGACTAAAAATATCCATTAGTACCATCCCAATGACGCGTTCATCTTGATAAGATTGATAAACAGCAGATTTTTAGCGATGGGCAAAATCTTAGATCCATAGGCCAACATTAGAGCCATCCCCTATCCGGAAACTCTTAAGAAAATGCTGGTTTTACATGAATCCTGATTTGCGCAGCCTTTTCAATAGAATTTGTCCAGTTATTTTTGGAAAACTGTTGGCCACGCTGTCCAGGATCTAAGAAGAGCAAACTTGCCTCATCCCCGCCTCAAATTTAATTCACTAGAGTTTCACGTTGTAGCAGCAACTAGATTATATTCCGACTCCATCAGGGAAGACGCCGACGCATGCAAGCAGCAGTCAACTGTCTTCAAGAAAAAAAATTATGTGCTAAGTATGTCTTGATAACCATACTTCACCTAACCGAACTTCCATTAGAAACCGATCAGATGTGCCATATAAACGTAGAGCAAGCACCCTTTTAAAATGGTTCATCATAGTGCAACATTTTACTCATGCCTCTGCTACTACGTGATATGTTAGCGATACACAAATAATGTCACGTATGTCGGTAATGCAGGTTTGGTTATTTATGGAATTGTTACGAAAGGACGATTTGTTTGTGATTGTGTGCACTAAGGACATTGCTCGGGATATTGTGAATTATTGTGATTCTTGCCTATCTGACCGCGATTGAACTATTTTTTCGTACAAAGTTAAAGGAAAGGGATTTTAGAGGAATACTCATAACTTCATCAGTTTTGCTGTTTTATGACTAGTTAGTCCTAACTTTTATTGAAGCAATTATGTAGCATGAAAAGAGAATTGTATTTTAAAATGTTTTCAAACTGATATTTGTTAGCTTGCAGAAGCTATTTAAGTTATCACATTTGTTATATATTGTTGCTGTTTACTGTTTGAACAAAAACAAATTGACTATCTGGCTACTATTGTGTATATTTGTCAACCTGCAGTTGGCAATCTAAACAATTTTGATTTTTATGTCGTAGTTTGTGCTGGTGATATCAGGGTGTTTGAGTTTTCCATGTGCATGTGCGACAAACAGAGGGTGTACATAATATTCAGGACCTGATATGAGAGTAACGTGGCAAATGATTAATAAGAGACGGGAGATGTGTGTTAAATGTATAAAATTAAAGCAGGGAAAAAGAGTGAAACGAAAAAGGGTAAACTAAAATGTGTTTAACGCCCTATGCTTAATGCCAAGTATATTGCGAAAAGGTACCTAAATAAAAAAAAAACAAGTTATTCTTAAATTATACATAGTGTATTGCAAGCAATCCCTCACCGATTATTATAAATTTTGAGTTAACAACACTCTAAACTATCAATTAGCAATGAGAAAATCTCGTACTTTGTTCGATGGAAGATATATTTTCATAGGTAATTTGCATTGTCCCATACATAAATTGAATCCTTCAGAGATGAACACACAGCCATACAGCTCAACTTTTCGAGGTCTCAAGTTTAAATTGATAATAAATGCAAACTTTCCTGCAAGTGATTTTAATAAGCAAAATAATACAAAACTCCCCTTCCTCTATACTGCCGTTTTTCAGCATAGTTGTCCTATTAGTTAAAACAACAAGCTGAGAAAAACATTTTATCAATTTTCAATAGGTCACTAATGTCCAACTGCTGCAATGGTGATAAAAATTATCACCGATTGCCTACAAAAAGTGGTTTCCCTAACACAGTCGCCGAATATTGATACCGAGCACGTAATCCTACGTCAAATCTACGGTCGTGTCTTGGATACAATCTCTTACTTTTTCTTAATGGGCTCTTATGGATGGGACAACATAGTTTTGGTATTTTTCGCGACATTTAGTAGGAAGCTTTTCGTTTAGATTGAAAAGTTATGGTATTTGACAATCGATTCCAATGTATAACTCATTTCCGCCAAAAATGCTAATGGCACAGGGCAGTCAGTATACGACATAACAGCACCGACGAACAGACATGCCACTGGAGCATTTAGTTTGTCCGCAATTCAATTTGTCAAATGAGCGATTTGATCTGTCCAACGGGCGATCAGATCTGTCAAGCAAGGTGAGACGCAAACCAAGACAATATAAATTTTACGTGTGTTCGTGTCGGATGAGTAGATGGCGGTAGTGTATAACATATTTTAAAAATAGCGTCTTGGGCAAGAATTTGAATGCAGCTGTCACGTCGGTTCGTCGGTGATAACAGTTTCATCTATGCTTGATGTCATATTCTAATGGGACTGTTATGCCACACATGGCAGTGTAGAAAGATCGGGATTCAAATGTTTACATTAGGGTCGGTCAAGTTTGCATGGTGGATCACAACCCCTAGCTGGCCAATCCTCTTTCAATCCCAACAACTTTGCCGAATTTGAACAAATTTGGTTGCTATCTGGTTTTGTGCGAGAGCTTTCATTTTTGAATGGGAATCGGAACGAAACTTTTAATTTGCTCGTCAAAAATTCAAAAGTTGGTCAATTTTTACCAAACCTGCGACTTAGATTCGGAAAACTTTGTAGAACATCTTTGTCAAGAATCGCAAATCTAAGATGAACTAGCCAAAGGATGAAAATCCCCATAATAAAGATTAAAAAAAATCGCAAACTAATCTTTTACTTAAGGCTTAGTGCTTTGCGCATACTTACAGGCGTATATATATAAGCTTGTAGGTATGCGTGGAGCACTAGGCTTAAAGTAAAAAAAATGGATTTATACACCTATGGTGAGATCTGACCCATCTTACTGATTTAAATTAATTTCTGAATAATATGTTGGTCTGTGTCTATTTTTTCATGCGAGACATTTTGGATCATGGCAGATTTTTTCCTCTTGCCAGTGAGTACTCCGAACATGACCATCGGCGCTCAAAATGTTTTTGAAAATATTGTCAGAATTTCCTTGGAATTTTTATGTTTTTAATATTTTTGATATTCTTCTCAGGATTGCTACTGAATTACCCTAAGAATTTTCATTGTATTTCCTTTGGAAGTCTCTAAAATCCCTTGGAATTATTTTTAGAATTACATTTTTTTAACATTATTAGCGAGAGCTCATTAGCTAGTTCATCTAATTAAAATTACCGTTAAATTCTAGTCAGAATTCTCCTCAGAATTTGTTAGGATGTCTCATTTAAATATCACTACTTTATCCCACAAAACAAATATCAAATTTATAAAATATCGAGTTAGCTCCACCAAGCTCAATCGATTCTAAAAAAGGACTAATAATAACAACTAATTATCCTGATATCCTAAAAAGTGGTCTTCAGCGAATATGCAACTGAGAAAATTTCACACATGAGGGGGTTAGAAGGAAAGAGGTGTAAGTGACTTTGATCGATTCTCTTCATCGACTTTCTCTTTTGATAGCCACAGCATTATAAACAGATTTTGCGCAATTTCTGCCACATAGTTTGATAAAGGAGGTTCTCATCTAGCATCCAGAATGACACACGAATCAAGGAATGTGTTTGCAGCTGAATTATTAAAGAAAGAGAAAGTCGATGAAGAGAATCGATCAAAGTCACTTACACCCCTTTCTTTCTAACCCCCTCATATGTAAGTGCAGAAAGCAAGTTTACCTGTAACCGTTTATGGCCGAAGACTAGGACGAAAAGAACAAGAAGTTCACTTTTTCCATATAAACGTATAGGGCGACAAAATTGGCTCAAATTTTGGGAGAATAATCAGAACCTTATTTAGAATCGATTGAGCTTGGTTGAGCAATATCTATATTTTGAGCCGCCCTAATAGGTATGAACCTGGGTACTGCGGACTCACTCAATGTGCTTGTCACTTGGGAGCCAGTTAGAACTGTCAAACGGGAGCCAAACATTCAGAAGCAACAAACTCAGTTACTGTTCTTACCTCTCGTCAAGTATTGTAATCTCATAAAAATGATTCATACTTTTTCATAACATATTCTTAATTGTAAGCTCAAAGACAAAAACCAACAGGCTCCATGATGAAAGTATAAAAACCAGCATAGTTTTTATGACTCAGCTGAGTTTCCAATTGCAGTAAAACATACTTTGGCGAAACATGTTTGTAAACAAACTTTGATAGAGTCATGGGGGCTCGAGCACTCCTGGCTCAGAGCTTTTGGCGGGAATCAACTCAGAAAGAACAAACAATTTTAAACTTGAACAAATTTTCAAGTAGTTTTCCATTGACTTGCAAAATGAAATCGATTTACTCCGCAGTACTCAGGTATGAACATCCTCTAACTACAACTGGAAAATCTACTATACTTTAAGGGGACAAAAATTTACATTTGCCATAGTAATCCCTATATAAACGCGTCGTAAGAGGCAGAAGAAAATAAGGCAGAAAAAAAAAATCAAAACGCAGAAAGGGAGACATTTTAAAAAGGCGAAAATTTTCAAAGGCGGAATTTTTTAAAAGGTATAACATTTTAATAGGCGGAAAGTTTTAGATAGCTTGTTTATATAAACGATACAAATAATTCGGCCTTTTTGGAATTCTTCGATGCAAGCAGTGTAAATATTTACGTTAAATCCCAGATAATCATGACATTTAATTATTAAATGAATTAAGAAAGGAGACCTACTGCTCTCATTATTACCCGACTTTTGTCAAATACTGTTATTATTATTGTTCCGTGCATCGAAGAATTCAGCCTTCAGGGATTCTGCCTTTTCAAATTTTAAGTCTTTTTTAAAGTTCCGCCGTATGTTTTTCTGCCTTTTGTCTCTGTTCGATGCAAGATCAAACTTAAAATGTTCAGTGTTAGCCTCAGATTGAGAGGATCACCTTGAATAGATTTGGAGCAAAATGGTTCATTTGAATCACCCAAAAAATAGTCAGCTGACGTAGCGCACAGTTGATAAGGAGTTTAAAACGCAGCATTGAACAAAAACGTGATAACGAAGCAGTTCCGGGATGAGCAAATATGAATATGATTATATTGTATAAGCATTGAAGCACCTACTGATAAGTCCAATGTTCGTTACGTACCTTTGGAATCACCCGACACGATGGCAGAATCTTTGAACTCTCGGCTCAGCTGTTTTACTGGCGATGCCTCTTGCGATTCGTCACCCTACAAAAACAAGTAAGAAATAATCCTTATCTGAAATTAACACACCCCATGCAAATATATACTAACGTCGACGTATCTGTGCCACAACATACAACCGAATATGAACAGCATAGAAACAGCAGCTTGGACAAATAGCCAAAAGATGATGTTCTTAACTTGGGTTCGTTCAAACAGCTCCTTTCCATTTTTTATGCATAAAATTGCTTCCGAGACTAGAATAGCAATGTACACCCAACATTGCGTTCCCAACCGTTTGCATCGTGTGTCAGTTACGTAGATGTAGTACTGTCGAACGGATGGAGCAGTAAAGAGACCCACGAACATCAGTCGTCCAATTACAATAGGGTGTGAAGGCGGCATCTCGAAAATATGTTTCAGGAAGAATGTGTTCAACTCTGTCAGCTGTGAATGAGAATAATAGAATAGAATACATTTGTCAGCAGAATTATTAATTTTAAACGTTCTTACCTGCCACAACAACACAAGCTGACATACCGCTAAGAACCTCATATACGTACATTTTGGATCCAGCCAACGAACAGGGGCCCAGCTTTCTGGTGTAAATTGGAGTACAACTCGTTTGAGCTTTCCTTTCGTGGAAGAGATATCTCTAATACTAGCCCACTTGTACTCTCTCATTTCGAGCAGTTTGCATATCTTTAAACCACACCAAATACCGAATCCGTTGCAAACGAGCACATCCAGAATGAGCGCATCCCACCAGCACTCAGCGAAATTCGGTAGCAAATGAGCGAAGGTGATCTCCGTTATTTCCCACATAACCGAAATTGCCCACAGAATGCCCATGTGTCTGATAAGGACAGCCTTGAAGGCCCATCCCAGGAAATGTCCCCATGCGAAAACGTCCACGTGAGACCAAATGCGCTCGAAGGAAACATCTGAACAGTTCGCGCCGTATTCCTAAAAGGATAAAAGTCAAACTAGAAAATTTGTCCTGCACTCGTTGGTAAGTTATCAGCCCTACCTTGTCCATATCAATGTTGAAATTACGTAACCTAGGATCGAACCAGTAGAATATGCCCATGATTGATTTATAGTCTTGGAACATCAGGAAGAGTAGAAACAGGAGATATAGGACGGATAAACCGAACAGCATACGCCACACCACCGGATGGGGTCGTGTGAAAGGACCGTTAGGAAAAGCGAGAATTGAAACTATCAGGAAGAAGAAAATAACACACACCATGCCAGCCCAAATGTTCTCTTGGATATCGGATTGATCACTATGGATGAAAGCGGAGAAAAGATTTAAAAGGTGTATTTAAGTCGATTTGGGAAGTATGCAGTGCCCGAAATCAAAAATCCTTAAAAAATAAAATTGACTATAATTAGGTTTCATGTTTTCTTTAATAAAATAGATATTCGCCTATCCTCCCTTTCCAAGCTGCTCCCCTGATCCTATCCTTCGAACAATGAATTATCGGCTCCGTAAAGCTAACGCGATTGAGCCTTCCAAATAAACGAAGAAGATAAAAGGATACCATCCCTTAGACAAGGTGCCTACTTAAAAGATAATGTTTTCACATGTTGTATGGCGCATTTTGCACCAAAGTAGACTCCTGCGCTGAACATAATCCCTCATAACTTTTTTAGCTCATTCAAGTAAAATTTAAAAATCTTCATTAATACAATAATGTACTAAAGTAGAATAATCATATTGACATACTAGCGGTAATAGAAATTAATTATCTTCATTTTTGGCCTGGGATTAAGTTCAACGCAGCACTCTATGTGGTGCAAAATGCGCAATATGATACCACATCACCGCCACCCTTAACTATCCCCGTGGTATATGGACAGCCCTAAAGCATTTTCATTATTATTAAAATTTCGGGCCATGTAATAAAAATGTATTCCTTGTGTTCCACATAGCCCATACCGGATTGCATATGCAATGAGTTTTCAAAACAACCCAGTACGGTACACTAAATAGAACACTAGAGTCCTGATATATATGCTCACCAAGTATAATTAGGTATAACATAATAAATAGCTATATTCACCCATATTCTTGTTTTCGTTCGAATTGTATTTTCAATACAAAGAAAAAACTTTTTTATGTATCGAAAATACTGTTCTAACAAAAACGAGAATATGGGTACATATTTTATTACGAATAATTAATATTTGGCCTCTAAAGGCACATTTCCTGTCTTCTTCAAAAAAATAACAGGCACCTCAAATATGTTGATGATAGATTAAAAAAACTATCATAATATTATTATCTGATCAGTGTGCGCTTTACCCCATAAGTCATATTTAAAGCGCGTGGCGAACAGCAAAAAGAGCAAAGCAGAAAAACCACGACTAGCTCGCCTCACTCGTCGTATTGAATGACAGAGAATGCAAACCGCATCCCCACTACACACATTTTTATTCTCGGCCGATCGATTATCTAACAATTGAAAATATTGTTCCTAGTGCTTTGAGGGGACTGGCGTTTTCTGTTCTGATCTTCTAATATAATTGAATCAAAATCAATTAGGCCTACCCGAATTTATGAAATATGAAAGACCATTCACTCACCGAACGAAGGCAAAGTACATAGTCCCGATGATGGACACCGCTAGCAGGGTGATGGTGTGGGGCTTGTAGAAGAAATCCAGTGAAATATCATCCACAGGCCGCTCGTTTATGAACTTGAATTCATTCATTGTCGTCATGTTATGGCCAGTGCGCGCTGGAGAGTTTTCCAGCGTCGAAGGCGGAGACGTCCGCTTCTTCATCCTACGTTTTAGTACGATGACACCGTATGGAAAATTGTGAGATTCAAGCACTTCCAGCTGTCGGTCGGCCAGAATTTTTGTCGATAATTTCAGTAAAGTGCCCCGTGCGTGGGCACTAATTGCTATAGGGAACCACTACCGTTCTCCAAGAAAAAAGCTACTGATTCATGAAGCACCAACTATTGTGATAAGGCGGAACATCCAGAGCTTTAGGTACTGGTACTTATCACTAAGGGGTTTCTTCTCTAATCACTAAACCAATCAAGCAAACTGTAACATCACGCCACTTTCACGATTACCAGTTTCATCACAAGCTGTATCGATGTTCGAGGCGGGCAAGAAAAATCGATGTTTCTAGCACTAATTTTACACCACGACTGTGCGAACATTGATTATTATTCTTCACAGAAAATCAGCAAAACTAACAAGAAAAGCGGCGTGATCTGCCGAAGAACCGAACTCGTGTGAAAACACTTTGACAGTTTGATAAAAGAACCTTACAAAGTGAACGAAAAAAATACATACACAGAGAAAAAAATTACCCTAAATTAAGTTCTTTTTACTTAATTTTGGGTAATTTTGAGTTTGGCATCCCACTCTCTTTTTGTTGTTGTCAAGAACCAGCCCAGTGGCAGGCGCGTACACGGTAAGAAAAAAGTACCCAACGGCCAGTTCACTTTTACCTACTTTTGACTAGTTTGCCTCCTTTTCTCCTTCTAATGTTGTCAAAAACGGAGGAGCAAAACCACCCAACAAGGGTAGTAAAGTGTAGGAACCCAACGTTGAGTATAATCATATTTACCTACTGTTGGGTACAACTAACTTACTTTTGGTTAAAAAGCCAGTGGAAAATTCCATACGAACTGCACACAAGTAAATGAAAATTACTTTGACCCGCTTTACCTACTTTTGGGTTCCTGCACTGTAGTGCCGAGATGAGTGAAAAGAACTTAATTTTGGGTACTTTTTTCTAACCGTGTAGGCAACATGTTATACAGTGACAGCGGGCCCAGCACAGCAAAACAAATGATTTGAGCCCGAGACATGCTGCCTGCTGTCAAACGCTGCTGTTGGTATAGGCCTTGTCACTGGCCTGTCAAGAAGAGAACGAGAGATTTGACTTTCCCATGACTATCGTTCAATAAGCTACTATAGTGAGTTTATGAGATATGTTCAAATTTGAGTAAATTGAACTTAATTTTGGGTAGAAAATACACACGAGTAAGTTATTATTTTTGCCGTAGCCAAATGTAAACTATTATAAGCGGTTTACTGAAAATTAGCTTATTGAACGGAACATGGGAGATGAGTGAAAAGAACTTAATTTTGGGTAATTTTTCAGTTCCGTGTACACTCAAAAATATTACAAAACGTATATAGATTAAATTTTATGCATTTTATGGTTTTTCAAAATTTATACATTGGTTCGATCGGTTCGATTACAATTTTCGTTAAAATTATATTTAAACATTGGCCGGAACAAACCACTATAACCTCCGTCACATAATCGCAGTACTTTTCTAAGTATTTTAAATGCGATTGTTGTGATTATCACGAAGGAAACCACTGATTCCTTTAGCAAACTTCTGAAGAAGTTGATACAAAGCTGAAATTTTATTTATTTCTTAGTTTTATAAACCTATCATATTGATAAAAACTTACATTTTCAATGTCCTTATTACTAGCTCTGAAATCACAATGAATTCTATGTTTATACACGAAACGAAAATCAATTATTTTATTCATGTGTTTCACTTATACATTTTTGCCAAACATCAGCCTTATACATTCCATAAGACAAACCATATAGGTCCTATAAGAATGCATAAAAGGTATGTGTGACCGCTTATACATTTCATTTGACACATGATCTTCATAAACTTTTTGCAAGGCGTCTGCTCATTAGTTGACTTATACATTTTATGAATAATCAGCAATAGAAATTTGCCAAAAGGTATAAGGAGATTTCTATCCGTGTACATCGAACAATAGACATTGAGGTAAAATAATGCAAATCTACCGCACTGCAAAAACCATTGCACTCAAAACTGACACAACAGCGATTTTTTACCGATTTGCACGCAATATAAAAATGATTGCACATTCTGTCCTGCGCTTCCAGTTCTTTAGAGATGTCTCGAAGAATTGAATTGAAGACATGTATTTAACAATTTTAAGAGTAGAATATATTTTCAAAAATGGGGAAAAAGTACCTGCTTTTAATTTTTGGATAATATAGATTGCTGACGTTTATCGTACGTACACTACGTCGCGTATTCGCGAGCGTATACGTATACGCAAAATGTTTTCATCGGGGAAAAAAATTTCATAGCGGAAAATTTTCCCGATAAAAACAAATCACTGACACATACTTCAGCAATTTATATACCCATTTTTGACAGTTAACTTAAAAATATGAGTACAAGAAACCCATTTAATGGGTACTTTCGAGTTAGTGTGTAGAGGGCTTCCAACAATCCACTTTTTTGCGTTACATGATATTTTAACTGGCTCTAATGGTAAGCATCTAATGTCAAATGGGGGTTATTCAGATTTTATAGCGGGCTAGCGTAAAAAGTTGGATTGTTCTGTCCAGCAAACCCAAATCTGGGTAAAACGCTGTCCAGACTGGAGAGTTATAACATGTTATAACGGTTGTCAAATAATTGCAACACAGAAACCACCATCAAGATAGCACTATAATATGTTATAACTCTGTAGTCTCAACGTACTATACGTTCAGACTACAGAGTTATAACATGTTATAGCGCTATCTTGATGGTGGTTTCTGTGTTGCAATTATTTGACAACCGTTATAACATGTTATAACAGTTATAACATGTAATAACGGTTGTCAAATAATTGCAACACAGAAAGTTACTCTCCAGTCTGGACAGCGTTTAAGTTGATATCCTAAATTAGGGTTTTTTGTTCTTGCGTGTACTTGTCGCGAATATGATGTAAGTGTTCGACATTTATACGGTTTCCCATATTGTACCACCTCTATGTATGTCAGTTGCCTCGAATAAAGCCGGTTTTCAATTTTCGTAACGTCATACAATTTTTTAATCAAAACAAAAAAAAATCACAAACGAAGCTTTTATCGATGGTGGTTATTGACGTGGTGGATACGTGTTTTTTTATCAGACTCTTAATTTATTTCCAGTGGATTTAAGAAGCGGTAATTTTGTTTTGTCAAATCTTCTTCTTTAAACGCGTGTGAATAATATCTGTTTGAAATTGAATTATACCATCATGGCTTTACTGGATTCTCTACGCCGGTTTGACGCGTACCCAAAAATTGATAAGGAGTTCAGCATTAGAACTGTTGGTGGGGCTACATGTAAGTGATTAATATTAAAATTCAGAATATTCTCAAGTAGAGAAATCAATCGTTTTCTACTTACAGTAACATTTATTAGCGGAACGATTATCATTGTTCTTATTTATTCGGAGCTTATATCCTACTTAACGCCAGTCGTTACCGATGAGCTTTTCGTGGACTCAACACGGGGGCAAAAACTGAAAATTAATTTGGATTTTTACATTCCTCGAATCTCATGCGATTGTAAGTTACACTGTGACAAACGTAAGCAATTTAAGAATTAAAAATTAATTCCATTTTTTATTAGATGTATCCCTAGATGCTCAAGATGCTACCGGCGAACAGCACCTACATATTGAGCATACAATTTATAAAAGAAGGATGGATCTTCAGGGAAATCCAATAGAAGAGCCAAAAAAAGAAGATATACAAGCGCCCAAACCACGCATCGAAACCACCGAAACTCCATCTACGGATGATAAATGTGGCTCATGCTATGGAGCTCAAAAGAACAGTTCCCAGTAAGTATTGAGTTATGTTTTTTTTTTTTCATAACCCCTTGTGTAAATCATTCGTCTGGTTTCACAACAGTTGCTGTAATACTTGCCAAGACGTAATCGATGCCTACCGAGACAAGCAATGGAATCCTACATTGGAAGATTTCAAACAATGTCAGAATGATGTTATGATTGGTAAAAAGAGTCTCGAATCCAAAGCATTTAGCGAGGGATGTCAGGTCTATGGGTCAATGCAGGTGAACCGAGTGGGTGGAAGCTTCCACATTGCACCGGGAAAAAGTTTCTCTATTAGTCACATTCACGTACATGACGTACAACCTTTCTCTTCAAGTCGGTTTAATACGTCCCATCGAATTAATACACTGTCGTTTGGAGAGGAGTTCGGCTACGGACAAACTAGACCATTGGATTTCACGGAGGAAACTGCCCACGAAGGTGAGTAGAACATTGTTTTATTGCTGTTGACATGCTCCTTTCCTTTGGTTGTTGGTTTATAATTGGTTTCGTTAACATATTCTTTAAAGTAATTTAACATCTAATTCCGGTTCCAATTGCCATGAAGGTGCCGAATGTGCCGCCACCTTGGATCATGGTTTTGCCGACGTTGTTGATCAACTCACGCCCTCGTAGTCCGTATCTGTAAAAGAATTAAGTTATTCGACACATTATCCTATGGTATTAACGTGCATTATAGATGCAACATAATGCATATCCAGCGTTAACATGCTTGAATATAAAGTAACTAATGTAGGTTTGTTACCTATTTAGATTTTTTTTTTCAAGTTTGAAACAATAGGTAAAGCACAATGCAATTTTAGCAATTTGCATATTAAGAATACTTATTAGAAACTAAGTTGTATACCTCAAAGCAGAAAATCCACCAAACAATGCACCGCTGGCCATTCCTACGCAGAAACCGATGGTAAATCCTGTTTTCATCCGATCGAAACAGGACGGCTGTTGGTTCTGTCCATACATGCTTCCCGGAACAGCTGGCATTTTTGCAACGATGTGAGATTGAAGTGACTGATCTACAGACACGATTTTTAATGATTTTAAATGCTTAATACAGGAATTTTCTATGTGCAACGCAGGAAAGCAATAGTTCTGATGTGTGATCGCATTAAATCACGTAATCTTGTGAGTAAAGTTTGACTGAATTTTGACAGTGACAATTTTTTGACAAGAGTTAATCACCCGCCTCGCCGAAGCGTTATAATATATTATATAGCGTTTATGGCACATCAGGCATATTAGAGATGCGAACAGCTATACAATTCCGCGAACACTGCACTGGGCAAAATAGGCAAAATATCAACCCTTACATGGCCGATGAGAGTAACTCAGTAAGTCGAATTTAACTCAAAATTGCGCAAAAAGTGCACTTAGGCAAAAGAACTTATGAATTTTAGCCACAAGAAATCGGCATGAATTCCATTGGTTTGATTTATGAAAAACAATGTTGACAAAATAAATAATTAAACGGAGCAGACTGGAGCCGAACCATGAACGTTGAGACTACGAAGCACTTTTCACAGCAAAAAAAGTTGTTGAATATTACATCGAAACTGCTGCAACCAGGTCAATCCATCGGTTGTGTAATATCACATTGTACGATGTCCATCGATTTTGCGAACAAAATTACATCCATTGATGTAATATTGTATCTGCTTTTTTCTATTACATCATTATTTCATACATCAGCTTGAATTACGTTGATCGATATTACATTTTTTTTTGCTGTGTTGTTCCCTCAATAGTTTTCGGATATGGAAATAACACGGGGGCAACAATCAAGCATTTCGTCATTGCTCACATCAATGTGATGATTATAGGGGTTAGGATGACTGCAACAGACTCTCGAACAGACTACTCTTTCTAGCATTCAGCACTGCGATGCAGGTGTGAAAGAGTAAGCTGTTTTGTTCTGTCGTACTTCCGTCAGTTTTACCGCTGCCAGTATGCCCAAAAGTGTCAGATTGGCATCAACGAGAGTACAATTTTTAGGGAAAATTCCAAGGGGTGCGAGGAAAATGCAATTCATATGTCGATATGACATTTCGGCGATTGTGACTAACATTTAGACTTATGTCTTTCGGGTTTTTGTGACATTCGGGCGAATGTTATAGAAGAGCAGTTCCAGGCAAAATAGCGAAACAAAAATGAATTTTTGAATCGATCTACTCTGATTTGTATTGCGTAATTGTTTGTTATGGGAAATTATTCACATTTTTGCTAAAATTCGGCCATTTTGGACCTTGTAATTTTTTTTAAAATTACGTACACGAAATTAAAAATATAATGACCGAAATGACGTTTAAGACAAAGGTCTAGAGAAAAAATATTTCATGTGAAAATAAACAAAAAATGTTTTATTAAAGGGTGATACGGTCAAAATTTTGTCAAGGGAAAACGCGTGTAAATCGGTGAAATCGTTTATTTAAAAAATCAAATTAAATTTCTTTTTCAAGTTCAATTAGTATAAAATTCAGGAAAAATATTCAGTTAGGCTTCCGCTTTTCCAAATCCGAATTGCCGGGCCTTACGCTTGACCCCTGCCATCAGATTTTGTACAGCCACCTTGTCCACCTTCTTCGTCGCAGAAAACCAGTTTGCCTTGAACTGCTGCTCACCCTTAGCAGTTTTTTTGGTCTTCTTTAGGTTCCGCTTGACAATAGCCCAGTATTTCTCAATTGGGCGGAGCTCTGGCGTGTTGGGAGGGTTCTTGTCCTTGGGAACCACCTGCACGTTGTTGGCGGCGTACCACTCCATGGCCTTTTTACCGTAATGGCAAGATGTCAAATCCGGCCAAAACAGTACGGAACAACCGTGTTTCTTCAGGAAAGGCAGCAGACGTTTATTCAAACACTCTTTCACGTAAATTTCTTGGTTGACAGTCCCGGAAGCTATGAAAATGCTGCTTTTCAAGCCACAGGTACAGATGGCTTGCCAAACCAGATATTTCTTTGCGAACTTTGACAGTTTCATGTGCTTGAAAACATCTGCTACCTTTCCCCTTCCTTTTGCCGTATAAAACTCCTGTCCCGGAAGCTGCTTGTAGTCGGCTTTGACGTAGGTTTCGTCGTCCATTACCACGCAGTCAAACTTCGTCAGCATCGTCGTGTACAGCCTCCGGGATCGCGCTTTGGCCGTCGTATTTTGTTTATCATCGCGATTTGGAGTCACTACCTTCTTGTAAGTCGATAGTCCGGCTCGTTTTTTGGCTCGATGCACGGTTGTAGACGATACACCCAGCTTATTTGCGGCATCTCGGAGAGAGAGAGGTTAGGGTTTCGCTTGAAACTACCGGCAACTCTCTTTGTCGTCTCAGCGGCTTCCGGTTTTCGATTTCCCCCCGATCCAGACTTCCTGGCTGTCGACAAACGTTCCCCAAACACTTTAATTACATTTGTAACGGTTGATTTGGCAACTTTTAGCGATTTTGCCAACTTTGCGTGTGAGTAGCTCGGATTTTCGCGATGCGCGAGCAAAATTTTGATACGCTGCTCTTCTTGCTTGGACGGCATTTTGACAGCTGAAGAGTGAATTCCAAAATCAAAATAGGAGCAACATTCTACACATACACACCTCCAAAATGAGGGGTGTTCAGGTTTTTTAAATGCAAAATTGAAAGAAATACGTCAAGTTGATATTGACCAAATTTTGACCGATCACCCTTTATGCGTAACATTTGATAACGGCAATGAAAAATGTATCGGTTTTTGATGACGATGTATTCAACTGAAAGAGCTTCGTTTTCTGAGCACAACCATATTTTTTTTAAAATCTGTCTATGTCAAATCAAGATAACTAACTAATTAAGCTGTTTGATACTAAACGAACATTTGATAACGGCACAAAAGCTTTTGTAAACAAACTTTGTAAGGCCCTTTGCACACGAACCAAAGGACGCCCACGCAAACCAGTACCACTTTCGGAAAGGTGAGAGTTGCCCCTACCCGATGATGTTGCTGGTTTGCGTATAATGGCCGTACTTCGGTTCGCGTGTAAATGGCCTTACAAAGTTTGTTTACAAAAGCTTTTGTGCCGTTATCAAATGTTCGTTTAGTATCAAACAGCTTGATTAGTTAGTTATCTTGATTTGACATAGACAGATCGAAAAAAAATATCGTTGTGCTCAGAAAACGAAGCTCTTTCAGATGAATACATCGTCATCAAAAACCGATACATTTTTCAAAATTAAGGGATCCAATTGTTTGAAAAATTTAAAGACGTAATTTCGTAAGTTCCAAAAGATGAACCAGCCTCTGACTGAAAGTCTCCCTAATAAAGATAACCTAACCTAACCTTCGTAAGTTCCACAATGGTAAATTTTATCAAAAATGTGAATCATTTCCCATAACAAACAATAATGCAAAGTTTCATGCAAATCGAAGAAGGTCGAGCTTCCGATTCGTCATTTGGCGTGAACTGCTCAGTACCGAAAAATACATAATAAATAAATAATGTCATCATCTTTTCTGGAGAATGGTTTTCGGGAGAATGTTATAGAACCGATTAGTTTTCCATATCCCTTGCAAAATCCCTTGTGTAGCAAACATTTTTCACAAAAAAATATCACTCCCATTTCTTCAATTCTCAACCGATTTTGCTGACACAAATTACAATACATTATCATTTGCTTCTAGTTTTTGACTATGTAAAGATTTTTCAAAGTTTTGGTATAATTTTATTCTGTTTTGTAAATTTCTTGAGGTCAAAACGGTTTTAATAAAAGTAATTTTGATGACACAACGATTTGTTTTTAAATATTTTAAAAGCGTTTTTAAATTATGCTTAGCCTTTACTCAATAAAAAAAAACTCGAAGCAATTTCTGATCGCTTGGAAGTTGTACCATAGAGGTAACTCTAAGACTAGAAGGTCCCGAAATAACGTGCTCAACTTTTTGGCTCAGCTCTGGTACTCTCTTCGGTCCCAAGCTAATCGATTCACCTCTCGAAACATAGAAAAAACCAATAACCCCTCATTTTATCTGTCAAACTTTCATAGCGAATCAAACCAAACATAGTGTAGTACTAGAATTTCGACTAGAATGGGGTACGTTAATCGTTTGCTTGGGACCAATAGGCTAGTCAAGTAGTGAGCCAATTTAAAATCGTTAGTTTCGTATTGATTGTTGGTTGTACTGCCGTTCTACGCATAACTGTCTCGTGTTACTTTTGGGCATATTATACTTTTATTCATAAAACATTTTTTTTACATAAACATTCGAATAAAAATGGAAAAACATATTGTTTGTTCTGAGCTTTTTAAAAAAAAACAACATCAAGTGTTATTGTCTCCTGTTGAAATTCTAGGCATAACAGTCCTACTAAAACTTGATTGAAGAATGGGACTGATATGTATGCGTTGAATTTCCTGCTGCATAACAGGTTTCTAGGCCAGGCATAGAAATTATTTGCATTCATTTCGTGCATTCATTTACATTCATTTGTCCCTAACTTTTTTCATCAACAGAATTCCGCAAAATGATGTGTGGAGTTATCATAGGCTTTGTTATTAGCTACAACTTTTTTTTTTAACAACTCAAATCCGTATCTCTATGCATGACGAACCAGAGCGAACAGAAGCCACTACTGTTTTTCAGTGAATGTATTTTACATTCACTGAAAAACAGTATCAAGTTCTGCCCGCTCTAGTTCGTGATGCATAAGAGATACAGATTTAAATTACAGTCAAAAGTTGTAGCTAATAACAAAACCTACAAAAGCTCTGTACATCATTTTGCGGATTGCCGTTGATGAAAAAAGTTAGAGGCAAATGAATGTAAATGAATGCATGAAATGAATGTAAATGATTTTCCATGCCTGTTCTAGGCATAACAGTCCCATTGAATATTTTACGTGAAAACAATAATTTAATTTAAAAAAGGCAGTTATGTTCAATTGGGGGTAATATAATATTTTATAGTAACGTATCTGCAATAAGCAAAAGTGATTCGAAACGTTAATCGCGCTTTTTTCTTTTATAAAATTTTAAACATGGGACAGTTATGCGTAGAACGGCAGTGTAGGTAACATAAAAAATAGTCAGGAACTGGCGAAATGGGAGTACGTAATATCAACATTTTCAGAAGGAAAAGGTTGGGTACGATGTACCTGCGACCCCGGTATAGTGGTTATCATCCATATCATATCACGAGTTCAAATCTCATACCCGGAAAAGTCACGAATGAATGACCCACGAGCGTTAGTGACTATGATAGATAAAAAAAAACAAAAACAAAAACAAATTATGTAGGTACCAGATACCAAACATTAAAACCTTTCCTTACTTCCAGGCGCAATCATGTTTCAGTACTACATAAAAATCGTTCCAACGGAATTTGTCCCCTTGAATGGACCTACACTACACACTAATCAATTTTCCGTGACAAAGCATCAAAAGAGTGTATCGGTGATGAGCGGTGAATCTGGAATGCCAGGTATTTTCGTCAATTATGAACTCTCTCCTTTGATGGTCAGGTTTACGGAAAAACGGAAGTAAGTTTTGAACGTGAAGTAAAAGCATATTTCGTTGTCAACATATTTCATTAGGGCGAAACTGCTTTTGTAAACAATGATTTCAACCGCCGATTTCTCGCAAATAAAAGCTCACTCCTGCAAACTAACCAAACCAGCTGGTGGAGGAAACATTCCAAGCAGTTTCGCCCTTTAAATGTCGATGAAGATTTAACATTTCGTACTAAGATACGATTTCTCTTTCTTTACAGCTCATTCAGCCATTTCGCAACAAATCTCTGTGCGATTATCGGTGGCATTTTCACTGTAGCTGGTATTATCGATTCGTTGCTGTTTACATCAATTCACGCTTTGAAGAGGAAAATCGAACTAGGGAAATTCAGCTAATAGTGACACAACGAGCAACAAAAAACATGATCTGATTCAAAGATGCTTCCAACGCTTATCTTGGTGGATACTTATTTTATTTATACTACCTTATCTTACCGGAGCATAGCATTACAATGTTTTCAAATAGTTGCTGTAGCATTCCATGTTGGATTTGGCAATATTAATTGCAAACTCTATGTCGGTACCTTCTACTAGTGATTTCAAAGAAATATAAAGATCTTTTTTTGGATCATACTGAGCTTTCCCTAAAAATTTCAAAAATCCGTGACGCTGTTTCACACGATGATCTCGTGATTCAAGAATTTCTGGTGTTTTCAGTATCTCTGCGTGGGAAACTTGCATCTTTCGATGTACATAATCAAATCGATATGAAAGCTTGTCCTGATCTATGGATAGAAAAATATTCATGGTTAGATTCAGTTTAATTAAGATCTATAATTAAGTTAAACTTACTTATCATCCACAGTTTTGGTTTACTCAACAGCAACTCCTTCAATTCGTTTTGATCGAAACCCATCTCTTCTTTGATCGAGAAGGTACTTTTCCTTATATGTTCAAGACTATACGTTATAACTCTTGGCTGTTTAGTTGTTAGCAAGCGTACTTCGTCACCCATTAGTTCAAACGTTTTTTGAAAAAATCCTAACCGCCTATCTATCCGCCGAGTGCTTATCATGAGCCAGAATGGATTCTTCGACACAATCCTCGCTACCTGTTCTGGTTGAAACCTTTTCGATTCAAGGTAGTTGATTCGAACCTCCATGTTACCAAGGTCTTCTTTGAATATCAACGGATTTTTGGTGACAAATTCTCCCAGCTGATCCGGCGCAACACCAATTTCGGCAAGAAACTTCAAATGTTCCTTCATATCCCTTTCAAAATCTAGTTGAAGAATAAATTGTGGTATCCCTTTCCGTTTCTCCAGTTTGTGTAGATCCACGCCAAGCTGTACCATTTTTTGTAGAGTGTCGGATTTATTTACGTACGCTGCGAAATTAAACGATGGTTTCGTGTGCGGGTAAAATTCGACGGACCTATCGGCTGAAGCTGGTTCCAAAACCGAGCGAACATCATCACGCAGCATTTGTTTGAATTGCTTCTCCAAATCGTCTTCATACTGTTGAATAGATTGACTTGTAATTAGTGACGTCTTCTCAGCTGCATCATATGCGAAATTCTTTCGGGTAGCAGCGTAAATACTTGTTCTGCACCGCAGAAGTTTAATCACGGAAAACATATTAGTTTAAAATTGTAAGTTTGGTGAAACTTTATGCTTTTAATTTATATTCCGATCTCCGATGTAAACATTATTCTAACACGTGAAATTTCGTCTCACATCCCTCGATTATTAGCGTTAGCCGCCAAGTTGCCGCTTCGCAGCTCGATGAGCCATAATCTAGGGGTGGAATTAAAGCATCCATTTTCGGCAGAGTTGCCAGAACTATATTTCGACATCGCAGTGCCAACATTTCAAAGGGGCGTAATTGCTTTTGCACACAATGACTTTAGCCGTCAATTCAGTACCAACATTTCAAAGGGGCGTAATTGCAGTTGTAAACAATGGCTTTAGCCGTCGATTTCTCGCGAATAAAAGCTTACTCATGAAAAATAATGATACTAACAGGTAGATGAATGTTTCTTCTACTAGCTAGCATTGTTAATTTGGAGGGGCTAGAGTCGGTGTATAATGAGTCACGCCAAGAGTGAAGCCAAGTCTACCTATTGAACTGTCAAAACGGCTACCTATCGTGCAAAGTAAATAAAAATTACGTTGCTATGAAAGGTCCACGAAAGGTATTGCAATAAAATATGAAATATAATCGAAGAAATGAGCATAAACAAGCAGTGAGCGTTAAATTGTCATGGGATACGCTCTGTAATGATTAGTAATGAGAATTTCTACTATTTTTTGTTAAGATAATTTGACAAAATCACTGATATAATGATTTACTACAGCCGCAATATATTTTCTCTCGCTAGAAGTCATTTGAAGTTGTTGTAGAAGTCCTCTGTTGCCAAGTGAAAAGAATGGGAATCTTTCGAAAACCGTGATGCGAGTTCAATTGTTTTTCTCTTGGCGTGACTCATTATACACCGACTCTAGGAGGGGCAAGCTTTTAGTAGCGAGAAATTGACGGCTAAAGCCATTGTTCACAAAAACAATTACGCCCCTTTGAAATGTTGACACCAAATTTCTCGCGAATGAAATCTTACCTCTCCAAAATAACAATGCTAGCTGGTAGAGGAAACATTGTTCTACCTGCTGGTGTCATTATTTTTCATGAGTGAGCTTTTATTCGCGAGAAATCGACGGCTAAAGCCATTGTTTACAAATACAATTACGCCCCTTTGAAAGGTTGGCACTGATATTCGGTATTATCCGTTCAGCCTAGTACACAGCAAAAAAAAAATTAATATCGATCAATGTAATTCAAGCTGATGTATGAAATAATGATGTAATATCAAAAAGCAGATACAATATTAGATCAATGGATGTAATTTTGTTCGCAAAATCGTTGTACATCGTACAACGTTATATTACACAACCGATGGATTGACCTGGTTGCAGCAGTTTAGATGTAATATTCAACAACTTTTTTTTCTGTGTCACTGCAAAAAAAAATGTAATATCGATCAACGTAATTCAAGCTGATGTATGAAATAATGATGTAATAGCAGAAATCAGATACAATATTACATCACAAGATGTAATTTTGTTCGCAAAATCGGTATATCGTGCAACGTAATATTACACCACCAGCGGAATGAACTCTGTGCAGCTTTTTGGATGTAATATTCAACAACTTTTTTTTTCTGTCTACACTGAAACAAGAACCATGCACAGAAAAAAAAGTTGTTGAATATTTCATCCAGGTTAATCCATCGGTTGTGTAATATAACGTTGTACGATGTACATCGATTTTGCGAACAAAATTACATCCATTGATGTAATATTGTAACTGCTCTTTGCTATTACATCCTTATTTCATACATCAGCTTGAATTACATTGATCGATATTACATTTTTTTTTTGCTGTGTAGTTACGAACACTATTTTACAGAAAACAACAATAACTTACTACCGTTAAATCTACTATGAATTCAGTATAGTTGACTATGAATGTTAACAAATTTACTATGAATCTGGCAAAACTACTATACTTGCTCAAAATGCATGGTAATTATGATAGAAATAAAAGTACACTAATTGAATTCCACATATTTTTATTGAAAAATTTCCATGTAAAATTCCACATGATTTTCATGTGACCACACATAAACAGATTACACCCAGAAGCATACATGAAATTTATGGGTCAAATGAATAATATGTGTATCACACAAAAAACAAAAATTGTACCAGTAAAAATATTGACCTTTCAATTTAAAAGTATCAACAAATTCGTTACCCTAACTACGAAGATATTTAATTTAACAATGTAATTTTCAATTCAAAAACGAATGTTTTGATTTTATCTTGTAGTTTTAAAAGCGCAAATTTTCAAATCGAAAATTGTTTTACTGTCAAAATTACTTCTTCATGAGTAGATTTCTACCTTTTATGGGTTATTCTACGGTAGCGTGAGTATATAAAGACAAAACGCGCCAAACAATAGGTGGAACATTTTACCAGCCACCAGCCTGTGCATCGACCCATGCAACAGTTCAGTATTGAAATTATTCCCTGTATCGATCAAGAATAAAATATTGTATCTTTCAGTAGAATCCGGTCGTCCATTAGAACGTGAAAACCTACCTGGAACTACCTGAAGGACGTCTATACGGCTCTAGAAACGAGCAGCTCGCCAATGCCGGTAGTGGAATGGAACACGAACACAAAAAACTCTCGAACAGACGCAAACCTCGCAAATGTCCGACAAAGATTCCAGTAAGTGACCTTAAATTTCCTCCTGCTTGGACAAGATTATTTCAGATTACCCCTCACTTTTACACTCTCATTAATTTCTATATACCATTGTAGATTAGATCCACGACGCTTCGCTGGCTGCTTCCCACATAGAACATATCCTCAGCGAAGCCACCAGTTCACTGAGTTTTGTTGCTCCGTACTGGACCACAACAGACATGGATGATGCAGTTCAAAATCTGACTGCTGCTATACGAGGTCTATCTAACCATACAAAAATCTAATAATTATCATGTAAACTGTAAAAACATTCAATATAAAAACATAAATTTATTTTTGGAACATGAAATTGAAGCACAAAAATAGGAATTTTATAATTAATAGATTTTTAAATGAAAAATTTGATTGTTATGATTGAAAATGCTGGTATTCATACTGAAAATAGTGATTTTTTTAATTCGAAATGGTACATATTATTGTAACAGTAAGGAACTTTTATGTTAATAGTTTGTTTTGGTTAAAAAATGATCAACTTTTAATTTCAACACTGTGATGCTTTTGATTTGACAGTAGTACAATTCATTTTGAAAGTTCAAACTTTTAAAAGTAGTGAGTGGACTACTTTTGATTTGACTGTTGGCTAACTTTTATTTTGAAAGCTAACCGCTTTCTACCAAAAAGAATCAACGCAAACTGTTAATTCTACCAACGATTTTTTTAATTTCATCAACGATAATTTTTTGTGTGTACTAGACTGATGCAAAATTTGACTTTTTCGCTCCACAGTGCTTAAATGGTTTCAAATCGGGTCCTGATTAGCCTCCCAAAGTTACAGCTCATTTGGTTAGAAACAGACTTCGCACAAGCCATTTGAAGTTTACATGTAAATTACTATAGGAAATCCCAACTTTTTGTTCATTGCCTTCTAGTCTTTTTCCATATTAAGCTACAAAACAGTTCGATAGCCACTCTTATAGAAAATTTTCTCAGCTACAACTTTGCTGAAGTTCATTTCTATGTAAAACGAGACAGGAAAAAGTTATTAATTATTTAAGAGATTGGTAAACTTATGACATGATTAAGCAGCTGCTCTGTAGGCAACACTGTATTTTGTAGTGTGACATAGTAGCCATGATTTTTGTGTCCTATTCAAAGCCCCAGAAACACCAATGTTGCCTGCTGAGCAGTTGATTGAGCATGATCATAAGACATCAGCGCATTGAACCATTGATAACTTTCGATCCTTGCATTTAATCAAAAAGTGGTCTTCAGCAAAGTTGTAGCTGGGAAAATTTACTACAAGTACAGTTGAAAGTTTTTGAAGCAGACCGATATGGTGAATTATTAGATAGACATGAACAAAAATCTTGGTTTTACCATAGTAATTCCCATACAAACTTCAAATGGTTTGTGCCATCTCAGTTTCTCACCAAATGGGTTCAAATTTTGAGAGGTTAGTCAAGATCCGATATGGAATCGTTTAAGCATAGAGGTAACTCTAAGACAAGTAGGTCCCGAAGAAACGTGCTCAACTTTTTGGCTCACCTCTGGTACTATCTTCGGTCCCAAGCTTGTCGAATCACCCCTCGAAACATAGGAAAAACCAATAACCCCTCATTTTATCTGTCAAACTTTCATAGCGAATCAAAACAAACATTGCGTAGTACTAGAATTTCGACTAGAATAGGGTACGTTAATCGTTTGCTTGGGACCAATAGGCTACTAAAGTGGTGAGCCAATTTAAAATCGATTGTTGGTTTAAGTATTGTGGAGCGAAAATTTCAAATTTTGCATCACTCTAATGTGTACCCCGTAACATGGGTAGATCACCTTTTCGTGGTACGTTACGAGATGTAAGATCTACCACCGATTCCTAGTCCTTGCTACTTCAAACTACTGTGTTACCTGACTTATAACGAATATACGTTCTATACGAGTACCCCGAATACAACGTAAGACTCGTCTAATTTTGCATAGCATTTGCAATGTAAAATTAGACGAACTATACGTTGTATTCGGGGTACTCGTATAGAACGTATATTCGTTATAAGTCAGGTAACACAGTAGGGCTCTGATGCGTGGTCATTATCGGTGTCATACCTTAATTTTGTTGCTAAGGAATCCAATTTTGACTGACAAAGGGGCGCGCCTTTGGAGGGTGTTTCAACACTCCGAAGGGTATAAATAGTGGGACCTTTAGAGTGGCAACTGTAAAAAATCGAATAATACTTCATCATTTCTCAATAATGATGGAGTAATACCAACAATCAATACGAAACTAACGATTTTAAATTGGCTCACCACTTTAGTAGCCTATTGGTCCCAAGCAAACGATTAACGTACCCTATTCTAGTTGAAATTCTATTACTACACTATGTTTGTTTTGATTCGCTATGAAAGTTTGACAGATAACATCAGGGGTGTGTGGATT